CGTTGTTTATGTGGCTGATATTGTAATTACTGGTGATGATTCTAAGGATATTGCAAAGTTGACAATCTTCCCCCATAACTAATTCCATATTAAAGACCTAGGTATACTCAGGTACTTCTTAGGTATTAAAGTTACCAGGTCTAAGCTGGGCATTTGTTTGTCTCAGCGAAAGTATATACTTGACATGCTAGCAGAAATAGGTTTACTAAGGGGTAGACCAATTGATGTTGCTATGGATCTGAATCAAAAGTTGTTAATGGATGATGGTGCATTGTTTGAAAATCCAGGATGGTATCGTAGGTTAGTTGGGAAGCTAAATTATGTCACTATTGCTCGACCTAATATTGCATATACAATTAATATTGTGAGCCAGTTTATAGGATGCCCGAGAATACCACAATGGGATACAGTCATCCGCATTCTTCGATACCTTAAACGTGCTCTTGAACTTGGGTTATTATATCGAACTAATGAATATCTTAGAGTGGAAGGCTTTGCAGATGCTGATTGGGTTAACTCTTTCTTGGATCGAAGATCAACTACTAGATATTGTGCATTCTTAGGAGGTAACGTAGTTACGTTAAAGTAAGAAACAAACAGTTGTAGCACGGTTTAGAGTTGAGGCTAAGTATAGCACGATGACATATATCACTAGTGAGTTGCCATGGTTACGACACTTCCTTCAGGAGATTGGTTTCCAGTCCAGCTTCCCTTACAACTATTTTGTGATAATCAGATAACTATTCATATTGTTCCTAATCCCATATTCTATGAAAGAACCAAATATATCGAAGTTGATTGTCACTTTATTCAAAACAAGATATTGGATGGAGATATTACAACACCATTAGTGAAATCTAAAGATCAGCTTGCAGATATATTTACCAAAACATTAAGTCACACTCACCTTTCAGCCATTTGTTCCAAGCTTGGATTATACAATATATATACTCCAGCTTGGGAAGGAGTGTTGAGAGTATTATTTTAGTTGTAATACGTATACCACTCTAAAGGTATACTAGTCTTTTGTATTTTAAATCTATATTACCAATAAAAGTGTCTTAAGTGAAAAAATTTTAATTTCTTTATTTATCCTTCAATAATTCTATAATATCTACTTTATCCTTTTTAAAGTGGCTTAAGAGAAAAACTTCTGATTTTCTTATTTATCCATCAAAAATTCTATAATGGCTATTTTATCCTTTTTTGATGAATTTTTTATTTTTTTTATTAGTTGCATTACTTCAACTAATAAATTTATTATTTGACTTTTGATTATCTTCTTTTCAAATAATATAAATTTGATCAAAATCTGATTTGAACAATGTGATCCGAATCCAATTCAATTATCCAATGGATTTTATTTTCACAATGTATATATGAATCTGTTAAAATAGATATTTATTATAATCCGAATAAGTTGATTAGAGACGATTTTAAAATTTAGCATATGGATTCTCCTTAATTTTATTAAATAATAATCAAATTATATCATATGTTTGTAGGTACGTAGTACATATCCAAATTCGCTAAAAAATAAATATTTGAATAGATCTAATAATCTATATACTACTTTTGAATTTCAATGCTTGTAAAAAAAAATTTTAATTTATAATACTATCCTCAAAAAAATAAAGACAATAATAACCTAATGTAATAACTTCTTATTTGTCTAAGAAATTGGTAGTCATACAACTATTAATTACTTACTGAAGTTAAACATTACAGTTTTTAAATGCAATGCAATTCAGTTCATACAATCCAAAATATGAGAAAAATTTTGAGCGTAATGGTTATCCCACGTCAGCAATGTCACTTTGTATAACCGTCCACCAATAAGGGAACAAGTGGACAAGTGAGCCCCATAAAATTCAATAACCATCATGTAATATATAGTCATCTCCATTTAAAGAAAATTGGTCCAATTTATCTATTTTTTTTTTAAAAAAAAATTAGAAATAGTTGGCGTGCAACGCATGCGTGTACCAACTATTTAGATTAGATAACTATAAATACCAATTGATATTGAGAGGTATGGTAAGTTAGACTCCTCTTCTCTCTCATATTGTGTTTATTCTCTCCATTCCTTTGAACTTAACACACTTCATTAATATGAATAAAAATGTATCACTTGTTATCATAAAAAAAAAAGACTAAGGTTTATGTAGATCATCACACAGTGTAGTACCTAAAACTACTAAGGAACCAACCAAATATATGGAAAGTTAAACTTACAATTATAACGCTACACATCCTTAACTAACTATAAAGCCAAAAGTAAGTCTAATGTTGGAACAAATGCATCTAACTCTTTTATTGTATTCCTAACAAACATGAAGGCACATGCCTTAGTTTCATTCGGATGAAGAATTCTTATTCCTAATCAATTGATGTCTAGAAACAAACAATGAGAACAACTAATAAAGAAATCTCTATCTAATTGTATCGGTAGTAATATTTTTAAAGTGAGTTACCATATTCTTTGTCGTCATTTTGCTCAAAGTTATTTTCAATCTACCTCTACGTCTTGTTAATAGTATGCCTAAGATCAATCGCACAGATGATATTAAGATTGTACTGATAACATTGATTACTTAATTAATTACAAGAAAATAGTTTCTCAAGGCGTTGAGAAGAGGAGACCTATAGTTCTTAGTACTTAACTCTTAAATGTTCCTAGTCATAGGATTACTATGTAATCTTGATAGATTAATATACACTATGCTTGCTCGTATTTGATATGAGGTGACTCGTCCAAGTCACTATTGTAGGCACATTGAAGCAGATGTGAGAGTTTTGCGGAGAATAAGTAAATTGAACGTGACCACTGATTAACATAGGATTTTTCATATGGAGTTTTACATCCCGATCAATCTTAAACTTAACATACAGCTATGCACCTGAACCTTAGACCTGAGATACCACAGTTGTCTTGTGCATGGACTTCTATCTTTTACATATACAACATATTCATACACTACCATGTGACGTAGATATGTATCTTTGGATATAGTTAGACATGTATGAAGACTTGTGAGTGTACAACATGTATTCTATCACCTTTAGTAAAAATAAAATAAAAGAATGTTCTATACGATCTTCTAGGATATGACTCAAGGAGTCATTGGCCAAGGTAGATTGACAATTAAAAAAGAGTTTCTAATTGATCATTAGGAGTTGATTGAGCTAGAGATTAGACAATAATTTCATATCGTAGTAATTTAATTGGGGCATTGACATTGTGTGATAGTATGATTGAATTGCATAACAACTGCAAACTAAATAGGTTCTTTACCTACTTCGTGCTGTACGGGAGTTGATCCTGATAAGCTACTAGATGTCACTTATAATTAGTAAAAGCCAGAAGAACTAAATTAATATAAATAGATCGTTCTTCATAAAGAAAGAATTAGACAAGTTCTAATTTCATATGCTACTTAAAGTTAGTATCGAATGCTTATAACTAGGTATGCTTGAAGCCTTGAACATATAGGATCACACAATAGAATTGATTAGAAACAAAAGAATAAAGGAGAAAAAATCATTTAAGAGTTAATTGGGGTGAAAACCTAATTAATATTTATTTACAGACTTTAATTAATGGTTAATAAAGATGTCATTGTATTGTTCGGGGATAATTGCAACCAAACCCAAACTAATATTGGGGTCATCTAAGACTCGATAAATACTCTATCATAGAGAAGGTGGATGAATGAGAATTACACACTCTTGCTAGCACAAGAAAATCCACTAATCTCTCTCTTTCTAATCATTAATCAAAGGTTGAAGTAGATCTTTTAAGTTTGTCAATTCGTGTGGATACCGATAGAGGCCAAACAATTGCAAAGGTTGGGGTAAAAATCAAGATTTAAGATCCTTTGAGAAAGTTTGGAGATCATTAAAAGCATACTTCAACAGTTAACCCTTAACTTTCTCAGTAAGACTAAAATTTTTCAGTTTATATTAAGAATGAATAGATCTTGGAATGAAGAATTAATTTTATTTTTTTAAAATTCTATTGTGTTTCCTCTAAGATTCCTTACAGCTCTCTTATTACCATCGATATGTATGAAATTATGTTCTCTCACTAGCATAATACTAGGTCTTCCATAAATTTGTCCAAACCACTTTAGTCGATTCTCACTTAATTTATCTCCTATTGATGCTACTTCTACGGTCTCACAAATATACTATTTTCTAATTCTATCCTTTCTTATTTTAACACACATCCATCTCAACATCTTCATTTTTGTAGCAAGTAGTTTTTAAGTATGTCGGTTCTTAATTGCTCAATGTTATGTATCGTAAAGCATTGTTGTTCTAATGCTTATCTTACAAAACTTACCTTTCAACATAAGGGGATATGTAAATCACATAATATGTCAAATGCACTACTCTACTTAGTCCATCCTCTTTAATTCTAGGATTAACATCGTCTTCCATCTCTCTTCACCTATTAATAATTGACCTCAAATACCAAAAGCATTCGCCCTTGGATATCTCTTGATATTCAATTTTATTACCTAGCTATTTAAATTTCTACTATTACTAAAATTGCATTCTATATATTCAATTTTATTTCTACTTATCCTAAATTATTTTGATTCTAAAGTTTCTCTCCAAACTTTTACTTTGTTGTTAATTTCAACATTAATTTCATCAATCAATAACATATCAGCGACAAATATTAATGCCACATAGACAAGAGTTGCAAAGTAGTCGACAACTAAGTGTTCATAAAGATGTAGAAAATTGAAAATATAACAAAACAAACACTTCTAACATGACTGAGATACAACTTGGGACATAAATGTATTGAGATCCCAATTTAGCAGTGGGAAGGTCATAAGTCTGCCAGCTAGGCATAATGACAAGTACGCCTAAACGATATCTACGAGTCAAAACTTTTCTTTAACCTAATTATGACCATTCAAAGTTTAACAAATAACACATTTTTCTAAACAAGCCAATAAAGAACTCGAATCCATAACACAAATCTGTTAGTAAGCAGTAAGCTGCATTATCATCACTGACCCAAAAATTCCAATTCTAACTAAATCACTGCATCACAATTGTAGCCTCAAACCACAACATTTTAATTTAAATATAGACAATATATCCATGAAAGCATAACCTAAAATTTCAAAAATTTACACACACAATCTTTACCTGCCAATGATACCATTAACCATGATCACAAGGTGCTCAGGCTGCACCTTTGCCTCAGCCGATGCCGCGTTGAAAATGTCTTCGCCACCACTAACCGACTCCACCTCCACCTCGCGATCCTTCTTTGGCCGCTGCTTAAACTTAAAGCACCCTCTACTCAATTTCCTGAACAATTCCATTTTATCTCCTCGACCCAATAAAAGGCTATAACTCCTGGTGTCTGGTTTCAATCCAAACCCTAAATTAAAGCACACCACTCTGTTGGGTAATTGGTGTAATGAAAGAGGTCTGGTGAACGAATTTGTGGGTAGGACAGAATTTGCGGCGGCGATCATGCGTGGCGAATGGGATCAGTGAGAATCATGGAGAATTTAGAGAGATCACTGAATGACTTGGAATATGGGGTTTTAGAGGGAGAGAAAGAGTAAAAGCAAAGAAATGTGTGTAGAACTAGCAGCTTCTGCTACTGAAATTATATGGGGTGGAGGGTTGTGTCCCTAGTCTGTGAAATGTGTGTGTGCGTGTGTGTGTGTGTGTGTGTGAGAGAGAGAGAGAGTGAGCGAGTGTGTGTACAGTTACTGGGAGCAAAAATTGCAGCGTGTTAAAATTATGTGGTAATTTCACTTTACCACCCTCAACTATGCCCTTGTTTCATAATGCCCCTAACCATGATATTTATCATATTATCACACCTCTTATTCTATTTTTGGATTTCTAATTACCTTAATTATACAAATGGACAAAAGATAAGATTAAATAAAGCATTAATAATATATAATTTTATCTAGTATTTAGTAATACACCACATAAGCGTTAGATAACAATTATTTAATTTAATCAGTTGTTTAGTTAGAAAATTATTTTATTGTATTAATGTTAAATTGACAAAAATATTTTCAATTAGTGCGTCAAAGTGTTTGTTACGTTTATGATAACTTGATTTTATTAATTACAGGATTATAATAGTAAATGTGTATGATAATACATTTGAATTGAATTATAGCATCACCTCTATTAATACTATGAATACCTCTATAATGCAAATCTATGATATTAAAAATATATGATAAGTATACGATTAATATACATTTTTAAAATTAGTACGGAATTAAATATATCTACCAAATAAAGTATTAAACCCAATTAAATAAAAATAATACAATTTAATATTTAATCCACTTATAATACATCTACTAAATGAACCATGTGAACATTTTTTATTTGAAACATGTCGGGCGTTTAGTTATGAGATAACATCAAATGATTTCCAACAGTGGAGAGATTAATATAAAAAGCTTAATAATTAAAAATCTTGGAGCTACAATTAAAGGATCAAAGTGTAATTTATCCAAATGGAAGTTTTTGAATCGGTTACCAAGAAAATATTATGTGCTTAAAGGAACCAAGCTGACATGTTTATTTGGTATTCAACACCAATTAAAAGCAGTCATTGATAAGAGCATACTATTTAATGTTTTTAATTCTTTTATATTTAGTTTTATGACATATTTTCTGTTTAACTGAGCTGATTAATATATTTATTGAATTAGGGAAGCATTGAAGGTAAAAGAATAGATATGAAATACATGGACAATTTTCAGCTTTTAGGCAATTTCGATCTTTGGAGCTCCGATTGAGGTTTGGTTGGTGTTAGAGTTTCAGAATGAGGAAGTGGTCTTCATGAAGTTTTTAGAGGACATCTTAAGCTTTTCATAAAGGTATGATTTGCAAAAATCCGAGTTTGTTTGGACCTCCAAACATTGTTTCAAAGTCAGGCCTGGAAAGCTTATCCAAATCCTGATTGGAGTTGGATTCCTGTCTGACCTAGCAAACTTTAGTAGGTCATAACTTGAGTTTTTGAAGTCCAAATCAGGTGATTCAAAAGCCAAAATTTATCTACACATCAAGGGATACAATTTTCATCAAGAGCCCAAATCAAGATTCAGTCGTTATCTGATAGAAGAACTGCTCACAAGTTCCAACACGATTTCTGTGATTTTATGTCAATCTGTTTTGATAAGGAATACCTATAATGTAGGGATTTGAGTTGTACACGTCTAGGGAACTGTCATATGTTTTCTATATGTATCTAAGATTTCCTGGAAGGAGAGGAGGTGGCAGAACAAGGAAGGGAGACAACAATTTTTATATTACAGACTTGGGTTTACCTAAGCAATGGGCAGCTGATTTTCTTTGTTCGGTCGAAAGTATTCTAAGTTGGTATATGGTTTTGTGAGACTTGATTTAATTATTTAATATCCAATTCTATTCAAATAATATGATTTTCTGATTTATTGATGAGATTACATAGTTCTTTTGATTAAAGTGCACACTAATTGATATGCCATGTGGTGAATACTAGATTAAGTTATTGATCCGTAATTGTCTTGAAACTTGATTGTAGTAGCAATCAAATTATGCAGTTATTTTCCAAACTTTTGTTATTAGTTTGAGGAAATTATATATTGGATTAATAATTCTTCATTGATAGAGATTTGTTATTCAATTTTAGTTGTTCTTATGGTTGTTATTAATAGAAGGAGGATTCTTAATACCGAATTGATTAATAACAAGATTTAATATGAGTACTAGGCTTGTATTAATGTTCATAGAGATGAAGAAGGTTGTTTAACATCTAAATGATCTTTGAATTAAGCTTTTGATAGGAGTTGATTGTTTGTGTCTATGATCAAATCCATAACCAACAGTTGAATTGCCTTTGAACCGACATTTCATTAATTGATTCTTGTTAACAATTTGATAATCTGTTTTTGTGACAAACAAAACCCCCTTTTTATTTACATATTATTGCACTTGTTACCAGTTAAATTAATTCATTTCTCTGTGGTATTGACCCTTATTTGCCACTGCTATATTTGTAGTGTAGAGGTAAGGAATTAATTTTGGTTGTGAACGACGCACAACAACCATCTCAACAAATAGTCAGATAAAATAAAAAAGTGACAGGTCAGCCAAATGGTTAACCAAGGAAATGTTTTCCACTTTCTCTCTCCTTCAACTTTTCTCTCTCCACTACAATCCTATCATTTCAGCCGACTTCTGCCAAATGACAAGTTTGCCATGAAGATTTCTTCTTTTGAATTTATTTACAATTTTACAAACTTTACTCACCTACGTCTCTCTCTCTCTCTCAGTTCCGTTTTCTCATTTAGTTGATTTTAATTATTTTTGTTCTCCTTGTAGATAGCATGATTTAATTTCATAGACTAAAAGAGATAGATCAATTATTTAATATTGTTTTATGAGCCTATTAAGGCATGTTTTGAGTTTTATTGCAATATTTTTATTTTTTTGGAATAAAATTTATTTACTTATCAAAAAAAAAAAATTGTGCCTCATTGCTATTGGTATGTAACTTATTGCAATTCTTTGACAAAAAAACTCTTCAATGTTCCATTTCGCTGTTGGAAGAAATCTTGATTCATTTCCTTAACACTTGATCCATTTTGTTGTTGGTATATAACATTCTCTTGCTTGATTCATATTTGGTGGATTGAGAGAACTTAGAGCTCCTATAACACTTTTGGAAGAAATTTGCAAGTTTTTTTTTTTGATATTTTAAACTGAATTTAATCAAGTTAGATATTGAAAATATGACTCAAATTGGGTACAAAAATTTGGTTTGTAGCAAATTGAGTATTGAAACATTTTCACCTGTATTAACAACACAATAATTGTCAAATAATAAGACCCAGTTTAACAACACAATTAACATGTCAGCTTTCCTATTTACTCATGGGTTACAAATGTATTGCTCACATGATATACAAGGATTAATCATGATTAACATTAATTTGTCTCTAACACAACCAATTCTTTCCAATAAAATAAGGTGAAAACGCAACAAATTCTTTCCAATCACCATAAACTACCTAAAATTAAAAAAATATACATTGAAACACAATTAAAAATTGATCTAGGCATGAACCATGAACCTCCAATTAATTAGTTTCAGCCAGAAAAAACTACCGACTCACTGATTCACTACAATTTTCACTCAATAGACATTTTATTTATTATGATCAAATTCTTGATTCATGTCTGATATATTGAGAGAATTTGAACTTCCTATGACATTGTTAGAAGTACCTTGCAAGATTGTCATATTTTTTTTGTTAGTTTAGGTAGTACATAAGAAAATACTTTTATATAAGTTAGATGTTGGAAACATACCTAACCTAAATGGGACATAGGGAAATTTGTTTGTAACAAACTTGTAAAAGGCATATTTGAGTATTGAAACATTTGCTTTTGTATCAATAATAGATAATAACAATCAAAATACATACATGACTTTAATAAGTTTATTTTAATTGTAAATAACGATTTGACAAACATACCAAATTGGTCGCTTGCATGCTCGTATGAACATTTGATGTTGTCATACCATACATGGGAACAAACTACAAAGAATGAAACAATGAGTAATTTAATAATACACTTTCAAACAAAAAAATATAAGATTCATGTGGATAAAAAATTCGTTTAATCATACCTGATTTTAGTAGTTTTCACTCATTTGCATCTCAAACGAATGTAAAGATGAAGCACCTAACATAGATGATTGCATTCCTAGAATAAAAAAGAGATGAAATTAAAGTATTCATTTTATATTGTAAAAATATTTTTATCTGTCATAGCATTAGTTGGTTGTGATATTTGAGATGTGCTCACATTTGTCTTTCTAGACTTATTTTTTCTTCTTCTCCAGAAAACCTTTCATTCGACCTTATGTGTGACCTTTTTTCCTCAATTTCGGGGGATCCAATATTAGAGTCTCATTTCTTAATAAAAAAATATTTCTATCATCTTCAAATGTATCTTTTTCACTGAATATTGCATTAAATTTTGTAACTTTCTCAAATATATTATCCATATCATGATCTGCAATCTCAATTGTGACATTAGAATTAACATTCAAATTCATAAGACTAAAGGCTTTGCGCATTAACTTGTTGAGCCGCACTGTTTTTGTTGAGTTTCCACTAGTATCCAATAGTGGAACATTCAGTCTATCCATTACAATCCCATGTTTCGCAACTTTTGTCCACCTCCTCAATATATATTGTTTGAGAATTTTATTGACACCATTCAAATTCAAAAGTCTCAATGCATGGCGGCACAATAATCCCAATGACTGAAATTGCTTACAACTACATGAGAGTTAACAATCAGAGGAGTTAAACTATATAATGTGTTCTTGATAAACACCCTCCCTTTTCAAGTTATACATGTGTAGTGCATCAGTACAAGTGGAGTCAACTTCTACTTCAGAAAGAGATTGCAAAAACTCGTCTTGAAACACCGGAAACAT